TAAGCCAGGAGGTAGGAGATCATGCACAAAAAGGGCAGAATATTTTGTTTGCGAGGTCTGCTGGCTGCATCTGGCTGCAATGTTCCTTGCATCCGAAGGAATCTGTACACTTTGCTCAGATCTGTGCATGGCCAGCGCTTATGGCATAGCACAAAAGTGTCGGACCTCATAAGGCTATGGTGCGAGGTCAAGGCTTGCAAACGGTGTCCGTGCCCGTGGCCTTGTGTCTCGTCCGATTAGTTGAGGCACAGTCCCACGGCCGATAGAGTCAGCATGGACGGCCAATGTCCCAAAGCTCCAGACGCAACAACAGAGTCGACCGATGCAGGGCCACCCTGGCCGTTGCAATACTGGCAAGAGCTTCGTGGCACGTATTTGCACACTCCACAATTCACCAATTCAGGCCCTCCTCCTCCGCTCCAGGCTCCAGCGGCTCCGGCAGAAGCTCCAACGTTGTAGGTCTTTGTCACCTTGGCCTTGCCACCCATGCCATTGCAATAATCGCATGTGCCTTTGGGCACACAAACGCACACCCCACAGTCGTGGCACTGGGCCAAGTTACGCGCGGTGGCATTCCCTGCAGACAGAAACTCTGCACAAGCCGAGCAGGCCAAAAGTAGGATGGTCCATGAGCGGTGCATGGTCCTGTCTTGAGTTGGAGTGAAAAGGGGTCCTTCAGATCTTTTGAGCCAAGATCTGCAACATGGACCGGAGTGAAATCGATTTATGAAGACATGTGTGCGTGTGTGTGTGTGTGACACTGTGCAATCTTAACTAACTATATTATATATATATAAGATTTGTTGACTCATTGCCAGCAACATGCCAGAGACAGGGCCCGTGAACATGGTTCAGTCAGCCAACCTCCTCCGCATCACAGGAGCTAACCTCATCCTCAGAATAGGTGTCCTGGTCAATGGTTGGCGGCGGTGTTTCTGAGACCCTCTAAACATAACGCCCACAAAAAAAGCCGACAAAACCACTGTCCTCATCGTCACTGTCTGCCTTGCTTTTGGATTGCATCGGCATCAAGTGGAAAGCTTTTGCAGAGGCCTCCCACAAGCCCATTGCATTCACACAGAGCTCCCAGCGGCCCATTCTCCACCATGCGACCCCACCCACCCACCCCGGCTAGCCGCAGATCTTCTAGCCCATCCGATCCGCCTCCGGTAAGGTGGTGGCCAGAATAGCCACTTCGCATCGGTCGTATCGATTGCGGATGTCCAACCTCAGGATGACTCATCGACCGGATGACTGATCCTCGGATGGCATCCTCGGAAGCTTGGATCATCGACCGGATCCTTTGCGTCTTCAAAGAGCCTCTCCAACTGTCCAAACGAACTGGTCGAAACCGGCCGCAACCGGCCGCGCACGTTCCGAAGGCACGTTCGAACAACTCAGTCCGCCACGTGGTCTGGGCAGGACGAGGATGATTCTCCGGAAACCAGGCACACTGCAGTGACATTGTGCTGCCACCGAGCACCTAGCAGTGCTCGCGAGAGCAACGACGGCAGGAGCAAAGCCTATCAACTTGCAGTCAACACTAGGCATCCGATATTTTGTCGCAGGCAACCCCCAGTATGGCTGTTTGTCCTCTCCGCTTTCACTGGGAAGTTGACCAATTTCCATAGAAAGAACCACACAAAGTGTTCATAAACCCGTTTCGGCCTGGGTGGTGGGTGGCAGCTTCTTGGCAAGAAAATCCGTCATCTCAGCCTCAAACGCGTCCTCGGCAAGGGGATGGAAATAGACAGCAATCAAGCTGAAGCGGAGGCCACAGTGAAAGCACAAAGCATGCACAAAAGATGATGGTGTCATGGTGGTTCAAGAAGGAAACCATCTACTCTGATGGCCTCATAACGACCCCATGGCCTCATATTACAACTGTTGTGCCATCTATGAATTGAAACCCTTACTGTAGACCAATCACCGGCCTCATCATCGTGATGACCAACGGAGTATTGCACAAACACCACGGTGGGCCTCCGGAAAAGTGCGGGATTTCGCTGGACATCATGGCTCTTCGGATTTCGTGGCCGGCTCTTCACATGATCACACTTGACGCACTCCACACTCAAAGCAGCAAAGTTTGGCTGGCTTTGGCTTTCGGCTCGGCTTTCGGTGCCTTAACTTGTTCTGTGCAACTGCTCACATTAGGCGATTGTACTGTGTTGTTGTCAATGTGAAGCTTCGCCCGCACGGGGATAGCCTGGCCACCAGCCGCTCCTTCAGCTCTTGAGCGATCGTCTCCAGACTGCCCTGAAAGCGAAGCTCAAGAACTAGCACAGTAACTAGGTAGACTTTGATGGTAGAAATGCCCAAAACAAATCCATCCATGTCCATTTCCATCCGCATTTCGAACCCTACTGAGTACAGGAATGTCGCCTTGAGCACCAGCAGTGAGGGCCGCTGTTGCGCCTGAAACACGGCCAAACATGGCTGAGGCGCATTTCGGAATCTGTTGGGATCACCGATGACTTGCAATGACCATGGTGGAAATCAGAATGCGTGTCAGGCTAGGTCGGTACCTTCTCCAAAGTCCAGCAGACTCAACTTCTTGCACCGGAGCCCCCCCCCAAAAAAAGCAAGACTCGACTCAACCCTTTTCTCCGGGGCCACACACAGCGATGTGGATTCATCCTGATGCCCGATTCGCGGCCGGGCCTCGTGCGCCGCCACTGCTCCCATGCGGCTCGTGCACGCGACCCGCGCCAAAGTGGCCGCCTGGCGGGCGCGCGGCCAGCACCGGACGGGCCAAGGATGTGGCAGTTCCAAAGATTGGAGAATCTACTTTGTTTTGGGGGTGGATAAAGGATGAGAAAATAGGACGAGGAATAAGAGGAATGGAAGTGAAGTCATGTAAACTCCGCAAAGCACAAAGCTTTTGGGCAGCTGTTTGGAAAAAGCACCATTTCTAGTCCGCCTGCTATAGAAGTCTGGGTTGCCCGGCATTCATGTAGGACAACGCATCCAGCAAGCTGTCTACCCCCAGGTAATCGCATAGAAACGGCATAGCGACCGGTCCAATCACGGACTTCGGGCCGGCAGGACTTCGGGCCGGTTGCCTTGAGCCACGCACCACCCGTCACTCAGTGCCAAAAAAGCCACAGAAACTTGGATCTTCAAAGAAGTGCCACCACCTCCGAGTGGAGGAAAGAGTTGATTTGTTTCTGCAAAAATGGTTGTTTAGATGTTGTTTAATGGTTTTTGGGTGTTGCATCTTGTGAGCTAAACGCTGTGCCAAAACATGTCGCTGTGATGCAAGTCACCTTTCTCTCGCCTGCTGGTGCGCATGGCCTTTGCAAGTGATACAAGGGACACAGTTAGGCACATCAAGAGGACAGCCACTTCTGCCTCCCTTCAATGTAACACAAACATATCGATAAATGGATAATGTATAATATATATATTATATATAATATATATATATAATGTCGATCAAACGGTCGAGCGGAACATATGGGAGGCAAAAATCACGATTAAAGCTGTGCTATAGGCCTGTCGCATGGCATACCATGGCTGAATCACCCCGTTCGGGTATGATCCCGACGCCGAGAAAAGCCGTTCCGGTGACCATCCCAGCGAAACGGCCATTCTGCACGCCAAACAACCGCATAGGAGCATGAACAGGAACACGCAAAATGTAACATGCCCTCTTCTGTGAAAAAGCGTAAGCAAGAGCAGATTCTGCACGGTCTTTGACCAAAACATCATGAATTTCACACACCAGACTAGGCTGCCCAACGAAACACCAGTGGGCCTGGTGGCCATGGCATCTTTGGCCTAGCGAAGCGGAAACATCAACCAATTCTGCGATTTGCAGGTCAGGCTCGAGCCCATTTCTAATTATCCATGTCCAATTTCTTGGGCAAATCCCCTACCAAGGTTGCCGTCTTCCTTCATCTGAGCTAGTACGATGGCCCCAGCCGCGGAAGCAATGACATGAGACTGCTTATTGCAGGCTTGATTTGGACATAATACGAACACCTGTTTTCACTCCGATCTCGTTGAGGGGGGCAGTCCAGGGCGGGGCAGCCAGCATTCTCATGACGACCCACCTCTCCACCCCTCCCCACACCAGGAAACAGCGAAATCCCTGCACTCTCCGTATCCGCGGCCACGCTCAGCGTGCATGAAATCCCATCCTTTCACGGACCCGGTCAGACGCGCGCGATGGCCTTGTCAAGCTTCTCCTCAGCCTGGCGATTCGAAGTCCAAGTCACCCATAGGACCGACGACTTTGCACCGTCGACGTTCGCCAAACGGTGCAACATCTTCTTCAATATAGTTCAATAGGCTGCAAAGCATCCGACACTCGAGGCCCCCCGGGCTCCAGCCTCCTCCTTCGATTCCGCCTTCTTCGCGCTGCCCTGCTTGGCACGACCTTCTTCGGCGACCCCGAGCGGCGGCGCCGCACGGTAACGCGCGCCCGTGTCGAACCTCTCGCGCCGCGGGGCGCCCTGCGCCGCTGAGAGCGGCACGTCGTAGCCACAGGAGCAGCGCTAAAGCCCCCAGGCCCAGTGCCACGCGGCCGGTGAGTTTCACGCGTCGCATGGCGGAGGGACCCAAAAAAAGGTCCCGGCCGACCTCCTCCGGGAGGGGCGCCCCACCTCTGGTTGGCGAACGAAACAAGCAGGAAGTGGATCTCCACCACGTGCCAGTTCTGGCTGTGTCCATGAAGGGTCTCTTAAGTGCTGAGGGTTCTTGGTCGCTGCTCGTTTTTGGTCGCTGATGTGGTTTTCATGTGACATCGTGGTGTTGCAGCTTTATAGCTTTTGCAGCTTTGATCCCAGATGCCGACTGCCGCACCGATGATGGAAAGAAGTCTAAAGCCTTTTTCGATGTCTTTCGCCTTGGAGAAAGACATCTGCTATCTGCGCGTCAGACGACTCGGCTGCCTTCGTTTAGCTCAGCTATAGCGGTTTTTATGCTGTTTTGATGTCCACAGCTGTCGGTGTCAAAGCGCACCGTCACCGTTCTTCGATCCGAGGAATCCAGGCTAAGCGATGTAGTAAGCCATGAGCAGCAGAGACATCCATCGCCTCGGGTCCGTCTAAGACCCCCAACAACGGTCGGTTGGTACCGACGCGTCGTGGTGTTCTGAACAGGTCCATCTTCGTTTGATTGGATTTTCTCAGCGGCGAAGTGAGGTTTGGGAAGAGGAAAATAACTGTTTTCATGCGGCTTCAATTACCAAGTAGTTGATGAGTTCGAAGAAATTCGACCCGACTTGGTTTCAGTTTGTTCACTTTTAATATGATCTTTCCAGTTCCAAACATCCAATGGACGACCGCCTTACAAGAAGTAGGAACGACCAGTTCAGCACGCAGCGATTGGGTTCTCCATCTTCTCCATGATCCAATTCTGCCATTGAAAGCTCAAGTCATTTCTACGGTCTCAAGCCATCAAAGTTGTGGAAAAACAACACTGTGGTTAAGGCCTGCAGCTGCGGCCCCTTCTGAGCTTGCCCTGAGGGGACGCTGGGTTGTGACTTCGTGGTGTGGGAATGGATGACATCACAGCACCCCGACTTCAAGTCAAAGGATCTCCCCAGCAATAGATGGGCTCCTTTTCATACTCTTTTCATGCCCTTTTCGCACTGTTCTCTTCCAGGCGGTTTGGTTCGTACCCTGCACACCGAAAAGGGTCCAAAATGCGCCAAGCGACGCAGCACCACTGGCTCACTTCCACTGCTGTGTGAGACAGAGACCTCAGGTCTTGATCCGCCCACGAGGCTCTCACGGCCTCATCAGCCTTGACCTCCAAAAACATCCGACAGCTGTGGCACGTACTGTCCATCCCGCAGGCTTCGCCAGGACACACACGTGCTGCCTCGGCAGAGACGCAAAAACCGATCCATCCAGCGGCAGAGACCTTTTCGGGGCTCAAAGAACCGGGGCCGGACCATAGAGCGTGCCATGCTGGCGGCATGCTGGCGGCTTCAGAAGTGGTTCCCTATGCAGTGGACATATGTCAAGAAGGGAAGAGGCTAGGAACTGGAGAGCAAGCACTGTATGTGTTCCTCAACGCCGGCGATGCTGCAAAGCTCTTCGCATCACAAGCATGCCATGCCATTGCAGGTCCACTTGATGGATGGCGGATTGAAGAGTGGAAGGTGCTTTGGAGTGGCTTCACGTCCAAGTGTGTAGACCATAAACGAAGGTTGAGCCAAGCTTGGAAAAGTCACACAAAGTTTATATCAACTGTAAATATGTATAGTTTTGACTCGACATATGGTATTATATTATACTATTATGTAAATCATATCATACCAGTAGTTTTGTCAACTATAAATGTACAGCAACATCCCTTACCACAAGCGCTCCAGGACTCCGGGATACCCCAGGCAACTGCCCCTCCACACCAGGCTGCTCATCATGCAGCAGGTGTGGCTGCGGTGCAGTCTCGCCTGAGAAGTGGGGGAGGGGCCATCGTTCCTTGGTTCCACTGTCGTTGGGCCTGCCGCAGGTCGACCGAGTCGACTAGGTCGACCTCGATCCTTCCGGGCCTCGGGAAACGGTCGGAGCGGCGGAACGACCGAGTCGCTGTGGAAACGACTGGCTGAGGGCTCCACAGCCCAGTCTCTGCACACACCTTCCGCAGCCTGGAACAACGACGGTGACAGCCTGCCAGAACTCCGAAGGGACAAGCACAACACGCCAAGGGTAGAACTTGCCAGTGCAGAAGTTACGCTTCTTCCAGCTAGAACTAGAACATCGGTATGTTCCTAGATGCAAAAGTCATATACAGTACATGTTTTGCCCTCCAGGACAATGGAATGATATAGTAGGCACACCGCTGCAAACCTCTCCAGCCCGCAAAGCACCGCTTGCCTTCCCAGAAGCCGGAACGCATGAACCTCATCTCCAAGTCTCAGTAAATGGATTCGTGCTCGTCTCTCCCTTCCTCTCTCTTTTAACACTAAAATGCTCACGCGCTCACCTGAAAGACTGTTGCCTTAAGGACCCTCACCCAAAAAGGCCTGGCTTTCCCCCTTGCAAAAGGCTCTTCGACTTCGTTCCCAAGTGCTAGGCGATCCCGAAAGCAAAGGTCGGGTGCCTGGCTGGGAGGGGTTTCCGCGACAGCCGAAAGAGTCCTCATCGACGAGGTGTGGACACTCCCGATCTTGACAGGGACTATGAATGTGTTTTTTTACAATCAAGATATCAATGGACTATGTCATATCTTGACATATGGTTTTCTTTCATATGATATTATTCACAATGATAGGTTCCATGATTCCAAATATACAAGCCCCACTTCTCCGCAAAAAAGAGGACGCGCAGAAGTCGTCCGCGCCACTCTGGTCGACTCACTGTCTGACTCGCGGACTCACGGGTCAGATGCGTCCCTCTACGACCGAGTCTGGACGGGAATGAGTTACTAAGATCATCTGCAACGGTCCAAGTTCAGGAGCTAGTAGTAACAAGTGCCACGCTAGTAGTAACAGGTGCCTTACTA